TTTTGGGAAATATTTCCACTTTCAGGAATTTTGTTTCACGCCTTATATTGATCATTCATCATGCTAATTAGTCGAAATCTTATCATGGCGACCAACATTGTTCAGATTGATTACCTCCTCGATCACGTTTACCCATGTGACCTGCAAATCTTACACGATGGCGTAGAGTCCCGTACATTCCATTCAAATGGAAATCACCTCCCGACTGAAATTTTATTTCCTTTTACAAAAAAACACCCGGATATTGGCGGAATATCAGGCTTTATCTGTCCGCGACTTGACGTGACTAAATCACGTTTTGCTACGTGCCGCGTGCAGATAGTTCTAATAACCTATTTTACCTCGTTAAATTCAAAATGGCGATATCAAGCTGGACAGGAGGAAGAGCTGGAATTTGCCAGCCATAGACATTTCTATTGCAGACCCAAAGTTCCTGATCCTAATCGAATTCTTCTCATCCGTGACAAGAAGCTTTTTGTGGTAGTTGTTGGGCATCCTGAGAAAGTGGGAGTTCTGAGTTTGTCCATGGTGTGGGGAACGTTTAGCGGAGGAACTTATAAAATGGGCATAACCTACATTTCTCGGCAGGGAAGCTTGGGACGTTTCTGTGTTAAGGAACAAGACGTAAAAGACGTTCATGAGGGTAATTTAAATTGCGTGGATAAAATTGACAGTCTAATCACAGCGTTTAGCATCTTGACAACGCCACCAAAATATTGGGAGGAATTCTATGTGGAGGATTTGGATACGCAGAAGGATAATTTTACAATAAACATTACTTTAGTAAATGATATCGATCCTTTTAATCCGTTTGACCGCTCCCGTCCTTACACGTTTGAACATTTGGCTCAGGCCGTGTTCCGCAAAGCTAATGCGACTCTACTCTCTGCGGTTTCAGGGCGTTTCCAGCACTCCCGAATCGGATTAGAATACATTGCATATCACCACGTGGATTCTACCACGGTCCACTTGAAATTCTTGGGATTTCAATTCTTAACCTGTTATTCCGAATCCTATTTAAGTTTTCGCTTTTACGTAGATCCTTTCCAACCCGATTTATGGACTGCGCTAGGCATTTGCCTATTCGTCATAACAGCCATTGTTTGGGCGTACGTTCGCTTTGCCAAAGTGAAAATCGTCTCGTTTCCCCCCTGGCTTTTCGTGCTTTCCACTTTGCTAGAAGAAGCACACCCGGTTCCGATGAAGATTGACAAATTGATCATATTCCGATACGTTTTTGGCATTTGGAGTCTAATGTCTGTCATTCTAACAAATTGTTATAATGGATTGATGATCTCCAAGCTAAATTACGTAATTCCAGAAACATTTGCAGATCTTCTATGCCAAGATGGTGCAATACATTCGTCTTCTTACTACAATTTGTCCGATTTCTTGCTCAATTGGAGAGAGAATTTAAAATTCAACCTTGTTTTAAGGTATTGGGACGGTGTTAAAAATTACGAATATTTTCATAACACAAGTTTTGTCGGTTTCCAAGATCGACACGATTCTAGCAATTGTTATAGATTGTTGTCAACCCCATTTAAACTTCCCCACCAAGATGTCATCGAATTCAAGTTTCTAACGTATCTGCCTAATGAGGTGAATTCGTACAGCCTCTCGAAGCAGACAGGTTTCGAATGGGTTCCATTGCTAGAGTGGCCCCATCTGGCTCAATTGCTGCAACTTTTGAATCCACGTCACGCCCATTTCCCAAAGGGAATTGACTACTCAAGAAAAGACCTGAATGTGACCTATATGCAGCGAAAGACAGAAACAGAAATTATTGATTGTTCCCGAAAAGCGGTCTTCATTGCTCAATTAGACGATTTACAATTTGAGTATGACTTCCTAACCTTGAACTATCATGGGAATGAATTTCACAAAGGGAAAGAGATACAAGATCCACGTCCCAAAGGATTAGTATTCTATAACGCGGATTTATCGAAAGTGCCAAAATATTATGTAAGCCTGATTGAAACAGGGATTTATGCCCGCATAGATCAGGAACTCGAACAAAGGGCCGTATTGGATAGGAAGGCGGCAATTACCCAAAGCAAGGATGATAGTTCCTTCTCGTTAGGGTTGAACGGGGGCGTTGTGACAATTTTTGTTCTGTACGGATTCGCACTTGCAGGTTCTCTGTTGTGAGTAAGAATTAAATGATTCGACAAGCAGATCCGCCGACTATTTCAAAAGTACAAATACTCTATTGGATTATGTTCCCCACATGAAACGAATTAAAACTTAGCAATTTTTTCGGGCGCCAAAATTTCCTTTGGGGGGTTATGAGAATAATGGGAGATAAATGTGGTGCACATAGGGCACAGCATATCTATGAAATGGGTTGATGTAATTTCAAAAACAAAATTTTTATACACTCTATGGATCAGTACCCCGATAGGTTTTTCGAACTGAGGTGGAATTCCGACTTTGAGGGGCTTTTCACAGCGACGCAAAATTGACTCAGAAATTAATTTTTCGCTATAACGAAAAAGTATGACGAAATGTTCATACATTAGCTTTTCACCAATTTTTACTACGTTGCAAATTATTAGTAGTAGAATAAAGGTTAAATTACAAAGAAAGTCGAAATCGACATGCGTGACCTTTTTCGGGGATCGAAAGGTCACAATGTCAAAGGTCACATTACCCCATAAATGGGGTATCGTTGGAAAGGTATTGGCGAGGGGATTCAGAATATGTATACTTTGTGGGGTCTGAAACCACTCCCTGCAAGTCTAGAGGCCAAAGAACGAAAATCGGCAGTTGTCCAGAATTTAACACAGCAGTGGATTGGGAGCTAACACGGAAGCATGCATGGGAAAAACTCAAAAATATTCTTTTGGCTCTATGTTTGCAGGGAGTGGTTTCAGACCCCACAAAGTATACATATTCTGAATCCTCTCGCCAATACCTTTCCAACGATACCCCATTTATGTGGCTATGTGACCTTTGACATTGTGACCTTTCGATCCCCGAAAAAGGTCACGCAGGTCGATTTCGACTTTCTGGGTAATTTAACCTTTATTCTACTACTAATAATTTGCAATGTAGTAAAAATTGGTGAAAAGCTAATGTATGAACATTTCGTCATACTTTTTCGTTATAGCGAAAAATTAATTTCTGAGTCAATTTTGCGTCGCTGTGAAAAACCCCTCAAAGTCGGAATTCCACCTCAGTTCGAAAAACCTATCGGGGTACTGATCCAGAGAGTGTAACAAAATTTTGTTTTTGAAATTTCATCAACCCATTTCATAGATATGCTGTGCCCTATGTGCACCACATTTATCTCCCATTATTCTCATAACCCCCCCAAAGGAAATTTTGGCGCCCGAAAAAATGCTAAGTTTTAATTCGATTCATGTGGGGAACATAATCCAATTAAGTATTTGTACTTTTGAAATAGTCGGCGGATCTGCTTGTCGAATCATTTAATTCTTACTCTTGTGTTTCTGGTTTGAATGTAGGAGCAAAATTTGTAGGTTGTTTAGTGTGCTTAAACATAAAATTGTTAAAATGATGCCTGGTAAATTGCATGGATGCAAAATACTCTCGAGAAAGGGGAACATCCCTGTTACCAGCTAAATTTCGGAAATATTCCGTCCCACTCCAAATTTCACAGGTTTGTGTTACGATTTTTTATCAGTTGACTATCAGCCTATGGCAATTTTTCTGAGTATTTTTTTTTCGTAATTAGTAATCGACTAATTAATTGCATGCTCTCGTCAAATGTAATTAAGTAATTAACAATTAATTACAAGTAATAAATAAATATATAGATATAAATATAAAATATAAATATTTTCAAGTAATTAAGCAAAATTGGTGTATTTAATGTTGCACTTTGTTCGAATATTTCGAAGTTTTTCCTTCGAAATGTTTATTTGCAGATAAATACATTCGTCACCGGAGGATTAGCCATGCAAAATTATGTATTAGTGTGACGTTGAGTTAACTATAGTAGATGCATAAATACCGGTAATTTTTTGAATACACACACTTTTAAAAATTTGGATTAAATCATTCTTGGTCGGAGTGCAAAAATGACTCCACCCTTAATGACGAGTATTACTGTTTTGTAATGTTATTCTGATTCAAAAATTGCCAGTCAGGAAAATTGCCCCAGTGGTGAAAATTTAATAAAGTTAATTTAAAATATAATCCAAGTATAACATGAATTACTTATTCAGTTTTAAGGTCCGTTTTACACTATTAAGTTAATGTGCATCCTACGTATAAATAACCGAGTCTGTAATAGCTCAAAATATGCTAATAGATATGGAATACTAATATTAAATAAATACATATTATGCTGATTATAATTATAATTTTACCTATTCTGAAATAAAGGGTTTCGATTCCTAAAATCTTAAGCAATCAAAAAAAAATAGTAAATAAAGTTATTATATTTATTTATTATTATTAAACTCATACTTAATCCAATATAATCTGACTTTTCAAAAAGGAATCTAAATAACTTACAAGTCGAATTCTCTATTCACATTAACAAATCATATTCATGTTTAAACGCTACATTTATGTATAACAATAATAAACCTTTTCCAATTTTGTAAACAATTTTTATTAACCCTTTCTTAAACTGTAACGAACACAATAGTCGTTTTGTAAGAAATGGCTTAATTCGGAAGTGAAACAAAAGCCGTCCTAAAAAATGGTGGTCATGGCGCGGAAGGACGACAATTGTCGTTTCTAGGAGGTCATTGATTTTCACCATTTTCTCTCCACGACCTAAAATTTGTTGCAATTTTGAGGGATTTCTCCTATTCCAACACAATACTAAATTTGAAGATTTTCTACCCAAAAATTTGGATATTTCCCTATACAACTCAATGTTAAATTTTTGATTTTTCAGTTTTTCGAGTTTTATTAGAACTTCTGAATTTCTCCTCCCGCGCCATGAACACAAAATACTTATAGCGTCCCCGATTTAATGCATTTTCTTGTTGTTAATCAAATCATACACGCTAAAGTGTTAATCACGGATATTTCAAAATCGATCTCGCAATTTATTTCTTGTACTCGTGTGAATTATTTAAATAAATTTAGGAAACAAACAGATTTTTAGCCATTCCCTTGTTCGTTTGAGCTTAACTGTCATCGAGTGGTGACCTACCGCGGAAACAATTTCCAACTTGAATTAATTCATCATTTATGTAAATTAGAAGCCAACTAACCGTGTTCCTCCCACACATTCTCCCACATTGCCAGGAAAATCACACGTGGTCAAATTCTGATTCCAGTAAAGACCATTCGGACATTGGGCCAAGGTAGGAGTTTCTTCATTGCAAACGTAGTAAAACCTACAATCTTGATGTGGCGCGAAATATTGGCCAGGTTCACAAATTGGTCCTGGCGAGACGGTTGTAGTAGATGGAACTATATTTACAATACAAATGTGAGATTAAATAATCACCAAGTTCCTTCATTACAAGTACTAACTAGTAATTACGCACCTGAAGTGTCTTCAACTTCACAAATTATTCTAAACTGCGCCCCACTAATGCAATCGGATGCCCGAAATTCCGTCGTTGTCATGAAAGCACACCGATACCACCAACCACCTCCAAACCCGTCCAAACCGGTCCCGCTAATTACATCTTTACCAGATCCGAACAAGCGAAACTTGGTATTTCCCCGTGAACAAGACATCGACATCATGTCTGTTGCACCAATATGAAAAAGTGCATCCCTTCCTATGAAGTAGAGAGGCAATTATCACTATTTACCAATTAACGACAATTAACTTAACGACTATTTGAAACCAAACCCGCATTCGCCTCCTCATTTGCAAAGTTTTCTAAGAAATTTATCTCCTCAACGGTTTCTGGCGAGGCGATTCTCATTCCATTTTCGTGGCAAAAATCTACCCCGTCAAGCCACGATTTCTAGGATTATATAAACCAAACGGTACAAATCAATATGCTTAATGAGACACACAGGGTGGCTTAAATGTCAGGTTATGTACAATGGAAAATTTGTCAATAAGAAAAATTCGTAAATTTATATTAGTTACGGATTTGGGATTGAGATTTTTAACACAAGTTACACTGATGACAAAATTCTTAAAACATTGAATTTCAGATGCAAAATTTCGGTAACTAGTGAAGATTTGCGAATTCTCCCACTGAAAAAGTTTCCATTGTAACCCGACATTTAAACCACCCTGTAGCTTCAGTTTTCAGGGTACGGCAATAATCCGAAAAAATTCGTCACCTCCATTATTTCCGTGTCATCCACATAGTACAATTTATTTGCAACGTCACCTATCGGACGCAAACCTCGAATCTCATCTTCGCTAAGGTCAGTTAATTTTTTGGGTGCTGTCTGCACATAATTGTTATCTTGGTCGTTGTAATGCATATTTTCTATGGCACATAACGCATAATGTGCCCTTCGACCCCGTTCACATGAATCATCTTGGTACAGCCCATCGCTATTGATCTTCAAGCAGTTCAAACTTCTATCTCCAGATGGCGCTCCACCACTCCAGTTGCCCACGGTTACCTCATCGAAGCGATCTAGCCAGCGAAACGTTCCCTCATTTCCGTGATCCGTAGCGGGTAGCCAGATTGATTCTGAAACAAAAATTATATCTAAAAAAATCCTTGAACCACAAAAATAAAATAAAATATTTTACGATTTGCTTCCGGTAGTCCGTTTGACTTTATGAAGTTGGAGACTATTTCGAAATCCCGCTCGGTCGAGATTCGACCAGGCGCAAAGTTGTGAGTATGACAGTAATTAAGGGCATACATCCAGTCACCCTGGAGTTAAAAAGGATCATACAAAATACCAATTAAACACTATATTCATTTATAAAGTTACCCGTGTTTGCAATATAAAATATAATGAAGTAGATCCCTTCCCAACAAAAATTTCGTATCCATTTTGACGATTATCTGCGACTCCACCACCAACTGAAGTGGAAAACAAGTTAGCAAACTTTTATTAAGGTGACGTTATTCATGGAATAAATGTCTTACCATCCGTCTCACTACCGGAAATTAGTTGGACCAAAGTCACACAAATCATAAACTTGAAACTGTTCATCTTACAGATATGTGGCTGTCTCCATGAAAAGGGACCTTAGTCATACTTTTCTCCTTTTGTACAAGCGGCAAAATACCAAAACAGAACACTTTCAGCGAAACCCATTTCGTCAAAAAGCTGAATTGACAAAATAAATATTAATGTTAAGCATTCCACCTCAAATTTAAAACTTAAGGCTGTACAGGTTTGCTTTACCTAATAAAAATAAAACAATTTCGCCTTGACCTTTTTCAGGACCTTAACGTGACCTAAACGCTTAACCTCGGGCGATAAACCTCAAATTTAAAACTTAACGTCATTCAGGCTTGTATTGGCCTATGCAAATCTAATATTAGCGCCATATAAACTACAATATAAAATTTTAAAAAATTGTTCTAAATTTAATCAGTATGCAAATTTTCGCCAAAAGGTCGTTTTGCCATATTGTCGATGCAGCACTTTGAACTTAAATAACTTTCTTTGTAGTTGGAAGATTGAGCTGAAATAAATGGCAAATTAAAGCCTGAGGCAAGAACTTCACTAAAAAATTAAAGTCGCTAAAGTAGATATTTGGTGAATAAGGTCCCTTTTCATGGAGACAGTGACATATTAGCACCCCCAATTATCAAAGTCTCTTCAACAAATGGAATATGACTGGACAATTATCTACTAAATGCGCAGTATTTATTCATAAAAATGTGAACACTTTCTACCTTGACGTGGAGCAAATGACGTCAATAAAGATAAGCTAATGGACAGCACGCGTCAGTCCTGTTATGATAAAATTGCCGATGTCCCACATTTCGTTTATATCGCATTACAAACATTCAATCTTATCTTCCATTTCATTTTGTCTGGACGCTACAAATGCTCCGTTTCTTATAAATTTACTGTCGGTTGTACAATTTTCAATTGCCGTGTCCACATCAACGTTGCTTTCGATCATCAGTTCTCGCATTTTTCGGGGCATGGTTTGGGCGGCTATGGCACCTCCAAATTTAAGGCTTGGTCCCCTTTTACAACATAATTATTATCTATTGTAGACACTATAGCTCTAGAAATATTTAGTAATTCTTCCATACCCGAATTGATTGTTATTTTTGTATATGTATGTCATCCCAGCCTGGCAAACTGCTTTCACGTCATGTAATACTTTGGCGTCAATTTAAGGAGGTTATAATTCCGAAAAGGAGTAAATTGTAACTCGTTCAACTTGAGCAAGCCATTCCGAAACACACGCAATGTTTCTGTAGTTTCCCAAACTATGGACAATTGGCGACTCGGACAACAGTAAGACCGTGTGATCATAAAAATATGAACACTTCCAACCTCGACGTGGAACAATTGGCGTCAATAAAGATAACTTGATAAGCTGACGGACACCACTCGTCATTCCTGTTATGATAAGATTGCCGATTTCCCACATTTCGTTTATATCGCATTACCAACGTTGAATCTTATGTTTCATTTCATTTTGTTTGGACGCGACAAATGCCCAATTTCTTACACACGTGAAATATGTACGTAAGGGGAATAATATGTTGCTTACCACACTTTTGATTATAGGAAAATCTATTTTCAATTTTATCCACAATCATTCCTTAAAATCAGTTGTTTCCTTCCCTAGAGGAAATAAAATCAAATACTTATCATTCTCCCAAGCTTATCAGGTACTACTTACCACGTCAAAAAATTACCAACATTACGATTAATTTGCAGAATCACGTAAAATCATATGTTAATGAAGTCAAAAATTTGCACAAAATGGTGCTCAATTCACAAGTAAATGTGGACAATCGTCGTGTCGCAATTCAAGGTATGAGAAACTACATAGGTAAGAAGACTGATGAGATATCCACCGCTACCCGTCCCCTTTAATACTAATTCACCTGCCCAAAAAATTTACTTGTTTCCCAAATAAAAAATGGGACCTGTTTGAGGTCGGGGGAGTAGTTTTTATTCAAATCAGTCTGACACGATGGTGCTTTTATGTATCTACCTCCTGAGTTAATGGTAGCCATGAATGAAACCAAGTTCCATTTTTTGTTCCTTTTCAAAGTTTCCATGTAAATGGGTTGTTTAGCATCGTTTTCGTGCTGGTTGTTTACTTAAGGTTAGTGTTTCAAACATGTGCGAAAAGCTAAATAGTGCAATTTGTTCAAATTTACATATTTATGTGGATATTCTGAAACATTCAAACTCCAGCATTAAACGTGCATATATTTATAAATATGTAGGCCATAATAAAAACAGGGTTATTTAAGCCTGCCTGAACGGCACAGCTATTACACATGCACAATAGATACAGGAGAATTCGTCGCTCGGAGTTTTTAAATAAGTTCCCAGAGGCACGAAATGATCTATATTATAAGCTGGAAATGTTTGTCTGCAACGGAAGTGATAGTAATTTTCCGAAACGGAAGTAAAAGTATAGAAAGTGAAGTTTCGAACGGCGCGAAAATTCAAATAAATTCAAATAAAAAAATTAAATGTTTGATGGTGGTTATCTGGGAGTGGTTATCCAATTTCCGTTGCGGACAGTCATTCAAGGTGTGAAACTTATCACCCGGCTTGAGACGGGTTTACAGGCTAGTTATAAATATTCTGATTTTGAGAATTTTTTCATGAGCATACTTTTGCACGTCAAAATTTTCAGCATTGGGTAAAAACCAGTCCTAGGGTCGCAGGGTGTCGTGTCCCCACTTTTTTAAAAAATAAAATGGGTTCCAAAAGTGCAACTTTGCGGTTGGGGCCTACGCAGAAAAATTTAACAACAGACTTGTATGTCGTTAGTTTAACTCCATTATGAATTTATTACGTGGCCATAATTATTATTTTTTCGCCAGAAAAATATAATGTACCTTGTGTCACGTAGGCAGGTTGCCTACGTGCCTTTCATTTGGTAAAAATAATTAGAATTTCTCCGAAACGATAACGTATTCTGCCGATGTACAAATCCAATTTTACGTACGTATGTATGGCGGGGAAAAATTCTGAGTAGCATTAATTATTATTGATAAGCTATTGTATTTTCCACGAAGCTGTAAATCGTATTTAAGCTATTTATATTGTCGAAACTATTTACGTGGTCAAAACCAGCTCCTGGTGTGGAGTATCTTCGAACATACATAACAATATGTAATTTTATAATGATATACTTACAGCTTATATTTCCATAGGATTCAACAGGAAAATTGTCTTCATTTGAGTATATATTGAAGTATAATTATGAACACGAATATTTGTTAACTCTTTGCGTGAAGTAATCTGAGATAAAACTATACTTTGTCCGGGTAATTACCATACGATATATCTGAAATTATTTGCCTGCTGCAGGGGAAATTTGAAATTTTTCTTTCGAAAACTTGACAGGCGAATCTTCGTTTGATGCTAAATTATCTTTTAACATACTAATTAAAAATGTTCTGTAATTTCAAGCTCGATCGATTAACGTGAGAAAGACTTAAATCCATCAAATTTATCCAGACACACTAAATACTGTGTGGACTTCGAAAAAATACAGTAGTGACCCTATCGCAGCCTTTTAATTTACAGTTAAAATGTTTGTTAAACATTGCTGCCTACTTTCCCTGCTAACCACCGTGTTGGCCTTGAATAATCATCTTCCCTCCGGTAATTTTGGACACTTTGGTACATGTGTAATCAAATTCTTACGGTTGAGCTACACCTTCGAATATATCGACTTGACGGAGCACCTCATCCACGTCAACAACCCAGCCAGCCTGATCTACACGGTCCACGGGCGACTCAACTCTTCTGACCGGTGGACCCAAAACGAGAAGAAGGTGCAAGATTTTAAATTTTATGAGGCCTGCACACTAACAATTTTTGTTAAATTTGACATTGAAGATAACGAATTTCGAAGTGATTATTTATTATTCACGCGTGACGCCCACAGAAGTTGGAAGCATTCAGTATTCATCCTTATTTATCACCTGGCTCCCAAAAAGATTATGTGGTATGGTTACACATTCGAATTTCGCGTCCCATACAGAATTTTTGTGGTACACTTAAAAAGAAGTGTAACCTCAGTGTCAACCTTATTCTACCCGCCAGAGATAGAATGGTTTTTTATTTGCGTTTTCTGCAAACAGAAGTATATTGAGCTCAGCTACACAGAGAAGATTGCGGAAGTATCGGTAACGACGTTTCGAACGTATGGGTGGAGAAAGAACGTTTCTATCGCAGCAGTATTACCCCAGAAATTTAAGTCAGGTAGAATTTGTGGCAAGGGGCAATATCATATTGCGCCAGGTAGGAACGGGTGTGACCTTAATGAAATAGAATATCTAACGATAGGTAACATTTTAAACATTTCGTTTTTAGTGGTTCCGTTCCCCGATTGGCAAACACATTTATGGGGCTATTTCGAGCAGAATATAAAATTCGAAGGATACGCTTATGGCACCATAAACCAACTGTATTCCTTCCGGTATGACGGGTATCACGGGATATACTGTAATTTCAATGTGTGGTCGGAAAATTCTGATTTAGCCGCATGGGTATCTGCATTTTCCCCAGTGGTGTGGCTATGTTGCGCGGTAATCGTGCTGATGGTGGTGATGCAAAGAAGCTTGAGAGATTTGTTTAAACCCCAAGGAAGTTTTTGGAAACTTAATTTAATAAAAGATGCCGTGGAAGTGATACTGGCAATTCTTGCGATTCATGTGAGACAAACGCCAAGTCCTAAGAGGGTTTCACTTTGGATCCTGGTGTCTTTCCAATTCACAAGTTTTATGCTAATTGCTCAGTACGAGTTATACTTAACGGGCAATCTGGTGATGCCACCGCGTTACGAGAAATTGCGTACTTTGAGTGAGTTTTTTGCTAACGATTATACCGTTGTCTACCCATCGGAAGAAGCGGATGGCATGATTTCGACCAGCACAGATTTGCAAAAGGAATTTGTCCGCAAGTCATTGCGAAGTGTACCTTATGATAAAACCATAGTTATCAGGTACGTACGACTGATGAATAATTTATACAAGGCTTTCTAATTTCTTATTAATTTCTAATTGATAATTAAAAGGAAAACGTCTAAGTTTGGTCAAACTAATTAATAGTTAATTTGATTAAACTCGTCACTTAAGTCAATTTGTTGCTACTTAATTACACAATTATCCAATCAATTGGAGATTGTTCTTGATTTTGTAATTAAGTAGTGATTATAATTATGTAGCTTAATAATAATGTAAGTTAATTAATAATTAATAACTAGTTTGGAATTTAATTTGATAGTGCAATTATACAGCTCTTATGTGATGTAATCCACATTTTGCGATTCTAGGTGGGCTATTATTTCGATAAATTCAAATTTCTCATCACGCGAAGTTAAAGCGTGGTCGCAAATTTAAATTCACACAATTTAACACAATTTAACAATATAAAAATTTAATTTATTCACCATTTATTATTCAAGGGACAACTGGAACAATCAGACGGCCTACGTTACTAAACAGAGTTCAACAACTGTCGCTCTAATTTACAACAAGGGTTATGCATTTCGTGAATTTCTTTCCTTGCAAAACTACTTACTGAAAGGGGAGTACGAATGCTTCGTGGTCTATGATATTGCCCTAAACGTAGGAATCTTTGCTGGTGTGGACAATATGCTAAGGTTTGAAATTGGCCAGAGCATCAAAGGGCTGGAGAGAGGTGGCTTCAAGACCTTGTGGGAACAGCAGTACAATCATTTTTCTTGGTTGAAAGCCATGAAGTGGGCATCGATGAGAGTGGCGTCACCTTATATTTCCGCGAACACGTGGTCACCCTTCTTTAGCGTTGTGGGAGTAACTCTGGTCCTGCTAAGATTTCTTTTTGTAGCAGAGCTTACATATGCAAGAAACAAAAAATAAACACACATTTGTTGGGCTTGCTTAAAGATTTTGCTCATTCCACTATATTTATATGTACACGCAGTACTACTTAATATTAATAGAGTTATTAGTTATCATAAATATCAATGAATACGTACTTCAACAATTACTTGTAACCAATTGGATTTGTGAGGTTGCTAGCTAAGCCAATTAATTAGCTAATTAATACGAATATTGACAAATTAATTAGTGATTTTAGTGATTTTCTAATTACTTAAAATTAGCCTCGGTAGTTAAAGTTAGTTAGTAGTTAATAATTAGTTTAAGCATGCTATTTAATTAGATAATTAATTAGATTGACTAATTACTTATCCACAATGTTACTACCATCCAAGTGTGACAAGACAAATTCAAATCTGTTTAAGATTATTAGAATACTTAA